GAATAGCCACACACACACAGACACACACACAAAATTGGCTTTTCTATTTTTTTTGAAAATTTTGAATTTTTTTTACCTTTAAATTTGTTTACACAAGACAAGTTGGAAAATTAAAAATTGGGACATAATTAAATAAAAATCACTCTGTTTGGTTTTTGGAGTTTTGAAAAATAGTTTTTTAAATTTTCAATTCCTTTTTTTTTTTTTGTATTTGTTGTGATTTTTAAAAATAGTTTAATTAATTTTCTTACATTTTAGATCCTCTTAATTTTGATATGCTTAGAAAGTATAAAATTTATACAAAAATATTTAAAAAATTCATTGAATACAATAAAATACAAAAATGTACTGAATTTTTTTAATATTTTGTATTTGGTTTTTTTTTTTTAAAAAAAAAGATCACAAATACTATACTTTTTATGGGTATCGAAATGTATCTAAAAAATAAAAATTTGGATAAAATATTAAAAAAAATCACTAAAAACAAAAAAAAAAAACAAAAAAACAAAAAATAAAAAACTTAATTTTCAGAAAAACAGTCTAAACCAAATAAGATTTTTTTTTTTTTAAATGTGATTTATTTTGATGTTCCCAAATATGATGTGAATTGTTTATTTTTAATTTTTTTATTCATGCAAAAACAAGATATCACCATTTTATTATGCTTAGATTCATAAGATTTCACGAACACATAACTTGTGCCTAACCAATGCCATTCATTACTTCTCCTTCTTAAATTGGCAACCACACCCACCTCCATAGACCACAACCAACAAAGTATCACACAACAAAATCGACCAAAGCAACCAAATTTTGTACCAAGACTCAATGAAACTAAGCAAATTTCAACAAATATCTCACTATTAGTTCTAATGGAAGAGAGATGGTCAACTAGCCGGTCATGCAGGGTTGAGAAGAAAATGAGAAGGAAAAAAAAAAAATCAAATGTTGCTACCATTTTTGAGTGAGTTAAACCCTAATTAAAAAATAAAGAAAACGTAATTAAGAGAATAGTTATAGTTGGGTGGCCCTTGGTGTGGTTGGCGGGTAAAAATTTAATCTAACGATGATATTGATTGTACGGGAAAGAAATAAACTTTCTCGTATAATCCTGTTGATCAAGTTTGCGCTCCGCTGTACGCCGTCGCTTTATCACCTGAAAACACAAACGTGAGCTAGCCGACGGGTGTATGCCGGAAACCTCTACGATGCCTAAGTCAGTAACCTTGACAAATAGACAAAAGTTCTGTGTATTCAGAAAGTAAAGTTGTGTGTTACCTCTCCAAAGGTGATGTTTGTGAGCTTTTATAGGTTTCGTGTGGCACAATCCTAGTAGGATTTCTACTTCTCCATGCAGAGTTCTCCTAGGATTCATACCCCTGAAAGATAATGTTTATCCTTCAACACCCCCTCACTGCTTAAACCAAGTGAGATGGCTTTTACAATGGCCGAACTCCAACATGACCGAAGTAAACATGACTATGCATAGCTGCAGAATAAGCCAAACTAGCTCTTCCTTTTACTGCTCTTACGTCGGCTTCTCATGCACCACCCATGACGTGGTTAGACCGAACTAACATGTCATGACCGGTGTAACTCCAAGACCGGTCTAACTCCAAAGTACCGTTAGACCGATCTAACTTCGATCTTCTGTTGGACCGGACTAGCTTCTCGACCTTAGGACCGGACTAACTTCAAAATATCCACATGACCGGAGTAACTTATATGGCCATTTTACTCGGCCCTTTGTACTGCGGCTCAAAACGGCCCATTACTCAGCTCGGCCTAATTTTCACATAAATTACCCTCTCATTGATGATGTGGTATTACTAACAAATATTAAATCTTACATATGAAGAGTCAATTCTTATTTTTTAGATGTCAAATATATGAGAATAAATGATGAGAAATTTTTAAACGATAACATTAATGGGATGGTATTATTTTTGCATTGAAGTTTTTTTCGTGCTTGTCAGAGTAATGAGATTGTAAAAGTGGAGGTGAGGGTAAAGAGGAGGAGGGGATTTAGGGAAAAGAATGTGGTGATCTAATACTATGTGATGAAGTTCACGGTGTGGTTGATGATAGATTCTTTTTAATACAATGGATAACAGGTAAACAGTGAATATAATCTAGTCGACGGTGTGGCTGGGGATAGATGCTTTCTGTTAATGGACTAACAGTTGGCACGTACAATTTAAATAAATAAAAATAAAATAAAAAATTTATTATATATTATATGTCTTTCAAATAATAATTTTTCTTTTTTTTTTTCTTTTCATACTTAACCTTTTAGGTTCGATTATAATGCAGTGTGATTAATTTGAAACTTGGAGTTTAACCCAAGTTGAAAAAACCAATTATTATCAAGTTGAAATATTAAGGTTTAAAGTGAAAAATAAAAAATTTAGGTTGTGTTTGACAGAGTTTTGTAAATATGATTTGAGAGTACGAGTTATATTTTGAGTTTGTGAGTTTTAAAATTATGAATTGAGTGTGGAAAATTTATTTGGTGAAAGAGTTTTGAAAACAGTTTTGAATTGAGTGGAAAATTTTTGATGTGACATATAATGTTTGATACAAAAACTTACAACTCATAACAAACATACAACTCAAAATTCTATTAAAACACATAAAAAATTTTTAAAAATTCGAAAAATATTTTTTTCGAATATATAAAAATTAACATATGTCAATTGCAAAAAAAAAAAAAGTTTGCACTGTTCCGGTCAACTGACTGGACGTCTCGTGGGACATCCAATGGGACGACTAGTTAGGCCAAATTTGAAAAAAAAAAATTTGAAAATCGCGCGATAACAAACATACAACTCAAAATTCTATTAAAACACATAAAAAATTTTTAAAAATTCGAAAAATATTTTTTTCGAATATATAAAAATTAACATATGTCAATTGCAAAAAAAAAAAAAGTTTGCACTGTTCCGGTCAACTGACTGGACGTCCCGTGGGACATCCAATGGGACGACTAGTTAGGCCAAATTTGAAAAAAAAAAAATTGAAAATCGCGCCTGAGACAGAGTTTTCTGCAGAGTTTTGAAAATACATTTTGAAAGCCATATCCAAATATGAAGTTTGAATGTGTAGATAGAATTATAGTTTGGAAATCATTCAATTTTTAATTTATTATGAAACTCAAACCTCATATTGGGGGATTTGAATTTATAGGTTTTGTTTGGCAAAAGAAATTGGGACTAAAAAAAATATAAAAGACAAAATAGATTAAATAAGTCAATAAGATAAAATGTTACATGTCAATCATAATTATTTTACTTTTTCTCTCACAAAGTAAAAAAAAACTATCCAAACGAACTTTTTATTCCTAAGCTAAAAAAATCATAACTGAAAAAAGCTAATTAAAAATGCACTAGCCAAACGACAACTTAACTAAAAAAACAACTACACATTGTCACATCACTTTCTCTAATTTTTATCTTTCTTTTCTTAAAACTCAAAAAAACTACTTAAAAAAGTCAATTCTTTAATAACTGACAAAAATAGATAAATTGAATTTCGGTGTATTTTTTCTTTCAAATTTTTTTTAAAAAAAAATTAGTGCAATTGATCCTATTATTAACAATGAAATTCTTTGTGTTGATGGGATTTCATTATTTTTCTATTTTTTATTTTTGCAATCCAAACATAACTAGGTGACATTAAAATATATAAATAAAAAAAGAAAAAAAATGTAAGAAAAGAGATTAAAATAAAGGGAGATTGATCAATAAATCTTATATTTTGGATTTGTAATTCATATAATCTCATTTTTTTTTTAATCCATTTAGTCCTTTTGGATATGTAATGACTTATTTGCTTGCCACATTAGAGTGTCACATTTAGTCTTGGTTTGGTTTTCATCTTTGGCTATATATAATCACAAAAAAGACAAAAAAAAGTTACAAAATCACAAAAAGACAAAAAAGCTACAAAAGTATCAAACTATCCCATATACAAATAAAAAGTTAAAAAAACATTATTCTATACTAAGGGCAATTTTGTCATTCCAAAGTCAAAAAATAAAAAAAGCCAAACAAGAATACCAAACAACTAAAAAAGTCTCAAGCTAAAAAAGTTAAAAAAATCAAAAAATTAACTAAAAAAGTCATTCCCAAACGACCCCTTAGAAAAAGTATACTAAGGAGTTTTTTAGTGTTACATTATAATTGTCACGCTGGAGTGTCATATTTTAAAAAAATACATTAAAAAATTTTAAATTTTTTTAGAGTGTCACATCATATCCGCTACGTTGGAATATCACATGTTACATTTGGAAAAAATACACTAAAGAATTTTTATTTTTTTTGAGTGTCACATCATACTCGTCACGTTATCACATTTGAAAAAAATATACTAAGGAGTTTTTATTTTTTTAGAGTGTCACATCATACCCGTCACGTTGTTACATTTGAAAAAAATACACTAAAGAATTTTTATTTTTATTAGAATGTCACATCGTACCTGCCACGTTGTTACATTTGAAAAAAGTACACTAAGGAGCTTTTATTTTTTTAGAGTGTCACATTATACCCACAATGTTTTCATATTTGGAAAGTATACTAAGAAGTTTTTAGTTATTTTGAAATACAAGTTTTAGAGTGTCACATTATATTCGTCACGTTGTCACATTTAAGAAAAACACGCTAAGGAATTTTTAGTTTCTTTGGAATATCACATCGTTGAAGTGCCACATTAGAGTATCACATCATACCTGTCACATTAATAAAAGGATGTAGTTGTCCACCAAAACACTACAAAAATAAAAAATAGGACTACACGGAAAGAAAATCTTCACTAATAGGACTTAATAGATCAATAAAATTTTTTTGAAACTAATTGGAGTACTTATTTGTGAGATGTAATTTATTGAAAAATATTTCTAAAATTAAAAGTGAACTTTTTGATTTTTTTAATTATATGTTTTTTATTTTTTATATATTTTTTAAAAAAATTAAAAAATTAACTCTTAACCTAAAACATCCATAATTGTCAATAAGCCCTCGCAAGAAATATTTGAACTGGACACCCATTTCTATGGCGGAAACACTCTCTCTGCCAGCCTGATCGAGCGAAACCCTAATTATTATCTCCACTATGAACAGCGGAGGAGGAGGAAGAGGAGGAGGAGACATGGGTTCGCCTCCACCGAAGCCCTCGAAGTTCGCGGTGTATCAGAACCCAGCTCTCTCCGCCGCCATGAGCACCAACAGCCTCCGCCCCACTAAACCCACTTTCCTCTGCATCCTCTCTCTCTCCACCGCCTCTGCCTTCGCTCTTCTCAGCTTCTCTGCCAGGTTCAAATACAAACAATGTGTGTGTGATCGTGTTGGTATATGCACATAAGTAAATACACATATATTAGCTGATTATGAGAAGCTAGGGTTCTCACAAATTTCATGCGTTTCAAATTGGTCTTGCTATTTTAATGCAAAGTGGCTTGTGGGTAATTTCTTTTTAGATAATTTGGGTTTGTTTTAAATGTTTTTTTGGGTGTTATTTTGGTTTGTCTTTCTTATAACAATAATAATGAAGGTAAAAAAACAATTATTATAATGATGGAAATTAGCTTATGTGCTTCTTGTGGCTGGGTTTGGTGGGTGGGTTGTAGCTTAATTTCCTACCATAACTTTTTACAAGTCTTGATTAAGCTGATTATTTATTTTTTGTTGGCTTTGAATCAGAAAGAGTAATAGATTTGAGTTTGTAATTATTTTATTTTTATTTCCCTTGTGTTATATGTGCTTTTAACCAAACTGAAAATTTGAAACTTGAATATTAGTTTACTGTATGATTAATTTTATTTTGTGTGGCTATTGGCTAATGGAGTTTATTTATTTATTTTTGTGAATGCTGAAGGGAAAATGGGCTTATCGACAGTTTGAAACTCGGGTTTATTTCCCCTGATGTTGCTTGTAAGTTACCCAATTTAAATTGGTTTCTCAGTGATTGCTCTTAACTTGCTCCTTCTGATTGTGGTATTTTATTTATTTATTTGTTAACTATCGTATATGTTTTCTTCAGATTTATTCGCCAAAGCAATACAGATTATGCTTGGTTCATTTTTTGTTGGAACCATGTTTGCCTTTATCAAAGCGATTTCCCTATGGAGAGCAAGAAATGCTGCAGGTATAGCAGTTATATCGCCCTCTAAAGGAACGAAGGAGCAAACCCTTCTTACAAATCGACAACTAGGGCTTCTTGGAATAAGGTCAAAGGTGGCTGTAACGGAACCTCTGAGGAAACCTCCCAAAACCAAATTCAACTCAGCATCTACTGCTGATGTTCTTGTTCCACTTCATCAGCCAGTAACTAGTTCCAATCGTTCATCTCAACTCAGCGGTGGCAAATCAAACACTAGTAGTGGGAGTAAGACCCATTCTTTCAGCACGCCATCCAAGCCATCAGGTTCTCCATCTCTTTTGTATCTTGTACCTGCAGCTTCTTCACAATTACCTTCTGCTCAGACTTCACCAGGTTTTGATCAATTGGTTGCCACCCCTTGGTTGAATAAGCGAGCTTCCTTTAATAAAGAGATAACAACTGAAGAAGAGCTTGAACAGTTCTTGGCTGATGTTGGTGAGAAAATTTCTGAATCTGCTGGAAAAATGGCAACTCCACCTCCCACCATAAGTGGTTTTGGTATGGCCAGTCCTAACGCAATTGCCAGTTCAGCTAACACTTCTGGAACTACAAGAAGTACACCGTTGAGGCCTGTCAGGATGTCTCCTGGTTCCCAGAAGTTCAGCACTCCTCCCAAGAAGGGAGAAGGAGATCTTCCTCCGCCCATGTCCATGGAAGAGTCAATTGAAGCTTTTGAGCGTCTTGGCATATTTCCTCAGATTGAGCTGTGGCGTGATCGCATCAGGCAGTGGTTTTCTTCAGTTCTGCTAAATCCTCTGCTAAACAAGATTGAAACCAGTCACATGCAGGTGTGTATCATCATATTATCATCCACACACCTCATCTTCTACTGATAGTTTCAATTTTTTATTGGTGCATACATGTTCAATAGATAACTATTATGCTCACCATGTGTTAATGTCACATTGTATTCGTACATTGAGTTCATTAATTATGTTGAGTATCAATGTGGGGTTTGGTAGATGTTATTCCCACGTTTAGTGCCCATGTATTTATTTGGTGTCATATGTAACTTGTAACTGTGGTGGGTATTTGTGGAAAATGGAAATATATCATTGGTATTTGGCAAGACTCTATGGTAAAGTCAGAGTTAAGGAAAAATTGACACTAAGGAGTAAAGAGCCGAAGCATATATCTTCATATAGGAATTTAATACTTTTGCATTCCATTGCAATTGACCTCTTTGAAAATTGCATTTTTGGGAGATGTGATGATGAACATAGAAAGAAGAAAAAGTTCAAATGTGAAATTTCACATGAAGTCCACCTAGGGCTTTGTGTAATTATGTTGAGGGTTAATTTGAGTCTTATTTTTGTTTGTTGTATAGATTAAAATGTTGTTGGACAGATTTAATGTTTTTTGTTCAGTTTTAATATTAGCGGTGTTTTGGTAATTTTGTAAATTGCTAGATATGGGTTGTACAAGTTGCCATGGGAATTCTTTTGGATCAAAACTATATTGGTGGGTCTTTATGAGCCTTTATTAGGTCTATTATATTATAGTTGATCAAAGTTTCTTAACTTCTAAATTATGGAATTATAGTCGTTGCAGGAATAAGAGAAGTTTAGTAGTTTATAAATATGCATGTAATCTTTCTTTTTATTAGAATTTGAACAATGAGAATTTGAGGTTTTGGTTGTGTGCATTTGTCTAGCCCTTGTGAGGGTGAAACTCTTCGTTTCTTTATTTTTTTTTCTTTGCAGGGATACTCAGGTTACAATTCTTAGGTTATTGTTCGCAGCCACAGAACAATCCCTTTTTCAACCCTTAAACACTAGCCAATCAAGTTCAAATCGTACCCAACATTTTCCCATACCCTTTGGGTCCTAATCCACACTATAAAATAGTTGTTCAGGTAAATCCTGCCACTAATTTCAGAAATCCTGTGAGCCGCAAGTTTGAAAATAAGCATGTTTTTTTTTTTTTTTTTTTGCATATACAAAGCCTGCAATCTGCCTTCTATCACTTAAACCCATCCATAAACCTGCCATATTTGAGTGTTCAAAGATGTCTACTAATGCACTGACATCTTTCTCTGTTCTCCAATAATACCTCGTATTCTTTGACCTAACTAATGCATTTTCACCTTACCTAATTGTTGTTTTATTTCATGACTCATGACTCATGACAGGGTGTTTTACAAAAAAGAAAGTTATGAACTTGGGTTGATTGGGTATTTATCAAAAAAAAAAACTTGGGTTGATTGGATGTATCTTGTAATTAGTTGGGGTAGCCCTTAGGCGTGCCAAGTGGCACCAATTGAATATAAATTGAGGGAGAATCATTTGAGCTGTCATGGCCATCTACAATCAATTAATGTACCTGTCACTCGGGAGTGATATTATCTAATTTTAAGTTGTCAAAAAACAAAGGAACAAGCTGAGATGGACTTGGATTGTGGTAGTAAGAAGAGACAAATATATGGTTATCTGAAGATGGGACTAGGGTGTGATATTTAACGTGGCCAATGGGAAAACAAAAGCCTAGTGCAGTCCACGTCCACCACAAGCAATTGGATCTAAGGTTTAAGTTGTATAGAGTAAATAGGTTGGAAACTACATTAGTTTACTTGGCTACCATTACCAGCGTGCATAGTGTATATATGGAATTTAGCGATATTTAATTGTGTGATGATATTGGGTCATTTGTGGCCAAGGTTGGCCCTTGTTCAAACTTCTTTAAGTTTTTAGAGAAAGTTTGATAATCATAGGACAAGCATCATATCACACAAGTTTTGTTTGATTTGGTTCATATGCATGTTTTGGACATACATGTGCACAAGTGAGGCCGCAAATCCAACGATCAGATTCTCTGCATAATTCTAATATATTTCATGCCTATTTATTCATAGAATCTCATGCTTATAGGTCATGCAAGCAGCTGCAAAACTTGGTATCTCAATTACAATTAGTAAAGTGGGAAGTGATTTACCAACTACTGGAACTCCTGCTACTGTTTCTCCAATTGAGAGACGGCCTAATGACTGGAAGCCAGCATTTGATCTCGATGAAGATGGTCTTCTTCATCAATTACGTGCTACCCTTGTACAAGCTTTGGATGCTTCTATGCGTAAGTTGCTTTTCCTTTATCAGTTGTTATATTTATGTTTGCTCAGAAATTGTTGCTTATGTATCTTTTCAGAGGATTTCATGTAAATTTTCTTGTTATTTGCAGCAAAGTTACCTTTAGGCAATCTGCAACAGTCCCCACAACAGAACACTATGACCCCTATTGTACAGGAGTGCATTGATGCCATCACTGAACACCAGAGGCTCCATTCCTTGATGAAAGGAGAATGGGCTAAGGGTCTGCTACCACAAAGCAGTGTCCGGGCAGATTTTACAGTACAAAGGATCCGGGGTAATTATATTTCCTCTCTCTTACAAGCTTATTTTTGTTGAGGAGCCTGATATGTATTGTTGTGTCCCTTTCCTAATAGCCTAAGCTTTTGGATTAGTGGCGTGTTGCATAGTATTAGAGCTTAAGTTGGGATGGGAGAGATCTTGGGTTTAACAAATAGCGGAGGGTGTTGGAGAGATCTTGGCGTCTAACACGTGCAACCCCATCTTGCATGTGAAAGTCTCCGTTTGCATTATGTTTCTCTTTATGTTTGGATAATTGAATCTTCACCTGCAAGATGGGGTTGCACATGTAGGAGGGTGTTGGAGAGCTTGATAAAGCCCCTTTCCCAACATCTATAAAGCTTTTGGGACTAGCAGGGTGATCTAAGGTAGTGTTTGGTTCATTGGAATAGAGTGAAATGGAATGATCATTCCATCAAAATGTCAATTCCCATGTTTGATTGACAAAAAAATAATGAAAAATATATTGCAAATGGAATTATCATTCACCATTATAAGGGAATGATCATTCCATAGGCGAGACTAAGGATGACCATTCAATTTTCTCTCATTTTAGTGAACCAAATAGAGCATAACAATTTTGTATCTCCTATAATCATTTGGAATAGATTATGATATAACAAATAAAGCATGGCACAACCATTTGGGACATGTAAATAACCTTGAATCATCTACTTGCCAAATCTTTACAGAGCTTGCTGAAGGAACCTGCTTGAAGAACTATGAGTACCTAGGGAGTGGGGAGGTTTATGACAAAGTGAACAAGAAGTGGACGCTTGAGCTTCCCACAGATTCTCACTTGCTCTTATATCTCTTTTGTGCTTTCCTCGAACATCCGAAGTGGATGCTACATGTGGATCCTACATCATCTGCTGGAGCACAGTCTAGCAAGAATCCTTTATTTTTGGGTGTTCTGCCTCCAAAGGAAAGGTTCCCTGAAAAGTATGTAGCTGCCATATCTGGTGTCCCGCATGTGCTTCATCCTGGAGCTTGTATATTGGCTATTGGAAGGCAAAGTCCGCCAATCTTTGCCTTATATTGGGATAAGAAGCCACAGTTCTCTCTCCAGGCAAGTTAAAATTAAGGGGTAGCATATATTACCTATTCTGAGTACATTATGTAGCATGTTGATTTTGTCATATTGCCTGCATATTATTACTGAGATAATATAGTGATTGTTACTTTCTTGCAGATTTTGTAAATGTTGCATGTACCAAGTTTTAGCAAGTGTGCATAATATCTTGCCATGAATTCACTGTATTAGAACTTTTGTTTGTAAATTGTTGGGTCAATCCCACATCGACCAGAGAGGGACACTGCAACCAATTATAAGCGTACTGGCCCCCTCCACTTTGCAAGAGGCCTTTTCCTTCGAGGAAGAACAAAACCGTGAGGCTCCGGCCAAAGTGGACAATATCTTGCCGGGGTGCGAGAAGCCAGTCATGTGAGTTTGGTAGTGTCCCTCCTTGGTCGATGTGGGATTGACCCAACATAACACCCCAGCGGACTGGGCCGCGAACAACGGGAGAGTCTGCCTTTGAATAATCAAATGTTAGCATTAGTTCAAAAGGAATACATTTTCTCAAGACAGTATAAATGTTGAGGCAATTTAAAAAAAACAAAACAACTTAGGGTCATGGAATCCTGAATAGAATTTGAAATTCTTCCATAAATTGAGCAGAGAGCAGTGGTTGATGTTCTAGACTCTGGAATCAAGTTTTGTGCGACATTCCTGCAATATGGCTTTCATTGTAGGAATTATAGAAGTGCTGTTGTGGTTTTATGATGCTTGCATATAATACTTCAACATTGTTGGGGTGTACCCTTAGATTATGTCTCTCACAATGCGTTGAGATCCCTCTCGCTGTATCAATTTTGAATGTATCCATAGAAGCATGATCAAAACTTGTGTGTTGATATATTTGGTTTTTGACACCAGTGTTGGTCTATTTCAGGGAAGAACATCACTGTGGGATTCTATCTTGCTTCTGTGCCACAGGATTAAGGTTGCAAGTGGAGGGATTGTTCGGGGCATGAATCTTGGTTCTTCAGCTTTAGGCATTCTTCCTGTTCTTGGTCCGGAAACTGAAGACTGAGAAACTTGTAAGGTGTATTGTGGTTAAATCTAAATTAAGCAATGCCTGATTTGCATCGGCATCTCAAACGAGCGATATGCACCATGTGGAGGGACTGCCTTGATTTATGAGTCTAGTTAACCATTTTTTTTCATTCAGCGCGCTTGCTAAATCGGATGACTTTCAGAGATGCCTGAATCGAATTCTGATGATTGACTTGGATTTGCAGTTCTGGTAGTTTTGATGAAGACTTTGGCCTATGACTGGAATTTCTTTTTGATGCTATGATTCAATCTATATATATTCTTCGTAGACTTTTTTTGCTTTATTTCACCAGGGTTAGATGTGATTCAATCTAATGGATGACATGTATAGACTTGTTAGTTGGAAATTCTTAATAAGATTTTGTTTCGGAAGTGATTATTTTAAGGATTTTTGATCTAAATCATGAGGCGAAAGTATAAAATGTGTTTGGGAATAATTTGATTTTTTAAAAAAATATGCAAAAAGTAGAGGAGAAAAAATCTTTGACTTACATAATTTTTTGTATTTTTTTTTAGTAATTTTACGACTTTTTTGCTATTTTATCATCTTTTCAAACGGGGTTTAAGGTCTTGTTTGCCAAGTGATTTTTTTTAGTCAAAAGTAAAAAAACACTAAAAAAATAAAAAAGTCAATAACTCATACAAAAAAGTTAAAAAAAAATTTTTCTCTCTATTTTTTACACATTTTTTCATAAAAAGTCAAAAAGTCTTTCTAAACATATTAGTTTTTTTTAGTTCATATTTTAGTTAAATAGTCAAAAAGTTATTAAATTAGCATGTTTCCAAATGAGACCTAAGGGCATCTACAATGGGATAGCCAAAATTGTTTGTTAAAGTGTGTGTTATATGACAAAAAGTGGTAAAAGTGAGGCACCAAAATATTTGTTAAGATGTGTTAAGAATTTGTTAATTTTAGAGAGTGAGTGGTGGTGCAATGGATGTTTTAAAGGGTGTGTTAAATATATATATATATATATGTGTGTATATAATAAATAAAATAAATAAATAATTTAGTTTAATCAAAAATTTTAAGTTCAAAATTAAATTTCAAGTCAAAAAAAAAATTCCAAAAAGTAAAAAAAAAAAAAAAAAAATGCTGCTGTTGACCGGTCAACTGCCGGTCAACCCAGAAGACAAAAAAAACACTTTCCTTCCCAACTGTAACGCTCTCCACAATTAATAAACAAGTTAACAATTAACCTTAACACACATGATTAATACACACGTTAACACGTCCATTATAAAATTCAAAAGTGATTATAGCTAGCTAAATTTTGACAAGTGACACTAACACTATTACTAACATGTCCACGGCGGATGCTCTAAGTTTGGATGCCATTTGATGCAATCATTAAGGAGATAATAAAGTCGAGCGGTTGGGTGCCATTTGATGCAATCATTAAAGAGATAATAAAGTCGAGCAGAAACGTAGCACTCGTGAACACCTTGTTTGTCGTGGTAGAAAATATTTATTTATTATCTAAGCTACATGATGAAAAAGGTCTCAAATAATAATGAGTTAATTTTAATAGAAAATATTTTAAAAAGTTTTAAAGGGTCACAAGATGGACTGCACAGTACAATTCATTTATATAAAATCTTCTCTTATTTGTATATCTAATAACAAGGGTTATCGTAAACGGATGCTAAACAAGTAACCTAACTTTTGACAGAGGGCCAGGCGATAAATTTCCTTTTTGAGGACTAGTGGAGGATGATGATCATGTGAAGTTGCTAGTGTGAGATCAAACATGTAATGAGAGGGAAATGCTTGTGCTGATGTTTTGGCAAAACTTGGACCAGAACAACCGGAGAAATTACTTCTATTTGAATGAGTCGCTACTAAGGTAGGATGTTTTGAAAAGATAGTTAAAAATTAATTTTTTAATTTTTTTAATTTTTTTTGAAAAAACGTGTAAAAAATGTGAGATGATATAACTCAAAATGAGTTAAAAGCTGAGAAGTGACTTGTCGTTTGGTGATTGACTTTTTTAATTGTCTAATTGACTTTTTGATTTTTTAATTATTTTAATTTGGGAGTAAAAATTTGTTTGGTTTGACTCTTGTAAAAAAAAAAAAATAATAATTATAATTTAAATACAACATAATTATTTTATTTTTTATATTTTTTTAACTAAAAAGTTATTACCAAACAATGCCATAGTCTCTTGGTTGCAGACATCTTAGATGTTTCGAGGGAAAGGACCAAACCTCTCACGTCCTTTTTACCTTTCCCGTGTATCAAAATAATAATAAGACAAGTAAATAAAAATATACCATTTAGATGCCTAGAACAATAATGGCAGTTGGTCTAGTAAGCTGGATATTGTGTTATAAAAGAAATTACGAATTTGTTTGGTTTAATTCTCAACATATAATTTTTGAATTTTTTTTAAAATTTTGTTTGGTTGGAAATTTTTTTTAAAAATCATTTTCTCTTTCTTAGATATCAATCAATCATTTTTTTTCTCTCCTCTTTGTTTTTCAATAACTTTTTCTCTCACACATATCTACCCAACTACAATAAAAGTCCCGTTTGGTAGAGCTGTGAGAAAGTGATTATAACTTATAACCTAACAGCTTAAAACTTATAACTGTGAACATAAGCTGATTTTTGACTTATAAATTAAGCTTCTCCTCCTCCACTCAAAGAATAAGTTGATTTTTGACTTACAAAAAACTATAAGTTGTATTGTTAAGCTGAACCAAATACATCAAAATAACTTAAATTAAGCTAAACGCTGAAATAAGCTAGAAATAAGCGCTACCAAACAGAGCCAAAATATCAAATCATTTCAAACTAAACTATCATACTCCAAAACTATTTCTAAAATATGCAACCAAACAAGTCAAAAAAAAATTCTAAATTCTTTCTCCAAGATTTTTTAAAAATTTATCTCCCAAAACTAAACTAAACACACCCTACATTTTAGTGTTTAATTTCTTAGAAAAAAAAAAGAATAATAATAATTTTTATATTATTGTAAATCATATTTTTTAATAAAATTCTTCCTAAAAATATTATATTATTTTAATTAATTAATAAATAATAATAATGATAATATGTTTTTATTCACACCAAAATCACGTGTGAACAAAATAAATTTTCACATTTTAACGACCAACAGAAAAAGTTATGGCGTTTGTGGGCCAATAGTTTTTGTGTTCGTAATGTGGCGACGACTCACGAGTCCAAAAAATTAGCTCCATCTTATGCTTTTTAATTTTATTAGTTACATATTTATTAATTTTTATTTTTTCTCCTATATATTATATAAAGTAATTTTATTAGAAGGGCACAGACTAATTAGCATGGTTGGAATTTTTGAAAGACGGATAATTCCTCACGAGTCCACATATCTCTCTCCCTCCCCTCTGTACAAGCATGGTATCAGGATTGCTCCGCAATTCATTGATATTTGATATTTGATATTAAACTCGTAAATTTGTTTCTACATTTCATCTTTGCTTCACACACAAACACACAAAAATAAAAAAATCTTCGATCTCTCATACCATTCTCATACATCTTCGCGATTTAACCTTTAATTTTGTTTTGTTTTGTTTCTCAAATTTTTGGCACTTTGTGGTGTTTTGGATCATCAAATTCACGCATTCGAAGATCCAAGGAGAAGGTGATAGCTGAATTCCTTTTGTTGGTGATGGATTCCGAATACGAGTTCACTCATCATAATTCTCCACAGTCATCTCAACGCGCGGTGTGTGCTTCTAACGGTGTAAATGTGGCCCGGCCTACTTAGACGACCAGGCTCGCACTACAAGAAAATACACTTTTGGCGACTAAAACATTCGTCACCAAAAGTACATATTTTAGTCGCCGAAAGTATTTCCCGACTAAATAATTTGGTCGTTGGATTTGTCGGCCATACATAGTCGCCGAAAGCATTTGGGTAACAACAGCGACTAAATGGAAAGTTGGTCGCCAATGATACTATATGGCGACGAAAATACGTTAGTCGGCAAAAGGTTTCAATGAATGCCGACCGAAGCCGATATTTGGTCGATGAATGTGGTCTTTTTGGCGACTAAAATTGGTTTGGTCGCCAATTTTAGTCGCCAAACATGCATTTTGTTGTAGTGTCGGGCTGGCTCACAGTGGGCCGTGAGGCCTCCCATTTTTTTGTCGAGCCGAAAAGTGGGTCCCATATCCACTCAGATTAGGATTGGCGGCCAGGCCAACATGCCTGGGCTTTTTTTTTTTTTGGTGCAAAAAATAAACAATAAATATATTATGTATATCGATAATTTATGAGGAATAAAAAATAAAAGAAAAATTGTACTAAAGTATTTTAGTTAAGATAAATGAGATGTTTGGATATGTTTCATGTGTAGTGCTATTTAAATTTAATTATGTATGATTTATATTTTTTTGGTTATGAACTTATGACTAAAAAAGTATGAAATTATGCAATTTTCTTATTTTGAAATGAATAATTATATATATATATATATATATTAAAATGAAACTTGCAATATTACAATCATTAAATTAAATAGATAACATTTATTGAATGAATATATTTTATTTCAAAATGAAATAAAATGTTACAAACATTTATATCATCAAATAAAATAGATGTAGATTATTGATTATGGTAGAGCAATTGTATCACTATAGGTCAAATATATTCTAACTAGGTTGACATCTACTAGCCAACCAATCATTTGCATTATATTCTACCTCAATATTCTAATACAAAAAAATAATGAAATGAAATAGTGAAAAACAAATTATTGGTCAATCATCAGAAGAGGCAGACAATTCACTTACGTTGCTAAAGGATATGTCATCCAATTCGTTTTGAATTCTCTCGTTTTTACAATAATTTTGTCTTCTTATAAGTGTATGCATGTAATCTTTGGATATCATTAGTGCCTCAACTATTTGGCCCGAAATCCTACTGCGGTAATCACTTAGCACCCATCTAATCTACACTAAAAGTTGTATTCGAAGTAACTGTAGAAATATGAATGGTTAATATATCACGGGTCATCTATGAAAGCACAAGCTACATAATTTTATTTTGTTTCTACCAATCCAAAATGTCAAAATTTTTGAAATCATCCACTGCCGAGCTTTCCAAATAATGTTGCAGTTCAAAACTACTTAAGCTGGTATGTTGAGATATTCTTCTATTTTTTATTACTGAAAAAACACTTTTTGAGCTTCACGTTCAGGTACTGTATACATAGGTTTTTAGGGTGACTTTTTGGATTTGTTGGTAACTTTTTGACTTTTTGGCTAAAATGGACGGTTGCCAAACGGGGCTTTAATCTTCCGCCTGGATATAAGACTGTTGGTGTAGTGCGTATAGATGTATTTGCAGATGCAACTACCATGTATTCTTCAAATAATGTTTTGCA